TATACAACACACAAGTCTATTCGGTTATCTCGATATCCCTCTCGAGTAACCTATGACCGTAATTATTTAGAGTCTGTGTTTAAAGACTCATTGGTCTCATTATTGTGATCTCATTACGATCTGATTTCCATTGCACAGATCAATGAAAATCACAATATATGCAATCATGCAAGATAAAGTGATAAAATGTCAAATAAATAATAAGCAAAATGAGTGCGTATAATATCACACGTGTCATTACTCACGTGATTGGCTTACAGGGCACTAATGACTAGCAGAATAAAATAGGGAAGTAGAGAGAAAGTGAGGGGAAGGGAAAGAAAGAGAAATGTGAGATAAGGGAGGAGGGAGTAAGAGACTAGGGAAGATGCAATTTTTTTCATTCAAATCTGAAAATTTCTTGATTTATTGACAAGCTCCACTATTCATAGGAGTTTAGGAGCTTTGGTACAATTAATAAAGACAATGATTCCTAAGAGTAATCTCTTAGGAAATTAGTATGCTTTTTAGAAATCCAAACTATGACTTATAGGATATCTAAATAGTAAATGAGTGCACTTGATACAAAAGGAGTCTCTAGAAAGATCAAAAGACATTTTTTCTTAAATTTTCAACATAATTGTTAGAATCTCTAAGCCAACTAATTGATGACTTTTTAGTGATTTCTTTGCCTAGAATAAACTTTTCTGAAATCCTTTGTAAAGCTAGATGGTTCTCCATCATTCTCCCTCGATAAAAAAGAACTTGACCTCGAAGAGTGATTTGCAAGGTACTGGTCCAATAAGTTTGGTGTAAAGTCACAAAGTTTATCCAAAGTAATCCAAGTGACATCAGAAGATGGACGATCATACCACTTGACAAGAAAGTGTTGAGTAATGCTAGTAGCAGATGTAATAAGGCAGTCATCAAGAATTGCCTCGATGTCATCCTTGTGTTGTGGGAGAATCGATGCTTTGAGAGGATTGTCACTTACAAGAACATCGGTAGACAGAGGAGGCTCAAAAGTACCATGATATAGAGTTCAATTCTTCATATTGAAAAGTAACATGATATAGAGTTTTTCGATAATGGGAAAATGACCAATGGATCGAGCATGCAACTTATTAAATGAGGGCGAACGCAAACCAAGATATAATCACCAATTTGAAACTCTTGACTTCTACGATATGCAATTACATCAAGTTTGTAACTTTCATTACTTTGGATAATTTTATGTCGAATCTCAACATACCAATCATCAATATGTTGAGCGAAGGAGTGGGTTGGTTCTGAGGCATGATAGTCATGTGGAAGGGGTGCAAGGTCAATGGTAGTGCGAGGACTTATTTCTGGGTTAAGTATTATTTTCTGGGTTTTTCCTCAACTAAACATCTAAGAAGATTTCCCGAGGAATGGTTAACAACCTCAGTTTGACCATTAGTTTGAAGGTGAAAGGCTAAAGAGAACTTCAATGTTGTGCTAAATAGTTTCCATAAAGGTTTTTAAAAGTAGCTAACAAATTTCAAATCTCTATCGGACACCATGGTTAAGGACAAGTCATGTAATTTAATCACTTCTCGCTTGAGCAACGTCTTGCTTTAAGGAAGGCCAATAAAATCCATCCTTGACTAATGCAATAGTTTTGTTTCAGCTTAGGTGACCTGCTAATCCACCCACATGCATTTCCTAAACAAGGAAGTCTCGAAGGGAGGATCTCGGAACACATAATCTAGTAGATTAAAAAAGGTAATCATCTCAAAGAATGAAGTCTGTATGTTCATGACGGTTTTCATCTTGGACTTTTCAATATATGTGACTAAAGTTTGGACTTTGGGTATACTCTTCTTTTAATTACTCAAATCCTATAACCTTAACACTCATGGTGGATAGGATTGGAGAAATTCTACTAAGGGAATCAATAACTTTGTTTTGAGTGCTAGAACAATGCTTAATTATAAAAGATTTAGGATCCAGTAAGTGAAGTCTCTCGGTAGTTGGGCCTTATGAAGGAGACTTGGGAGTTCCTGATTTATCCTTTTTTGTCGGTTTTGCGAATCGTAGGATGATATTTTTGCCTTTGTATGAAAAGACAAGTGTTTTCTCTTTCATGATTAGTAACATTAAGGTCATACAACCAAGGTCAACCAAAAAGAATATAGGCAACGTCCATTGGTATGACATAACAACAGGACTCATCTTGGTAATTGCCCATTTTGATTGGTACTAGACGTCTCTCTATCATAAGTAGAGTGATTTTGTCAACCCAGTCTACTTTGAATGAGGTCGGATATGACTACTTTAAGGTTTAGTCTTTTGATAGCAGATTTTGAGACTACATTCATAGTGCTATTCCCATCAATAACTAATTTGTAAGTTCTTTCCCTGCTTTCGATAAAAGTATGAAAGATACTTGTCCTCTTCCATTCATTGGAATCACTAGTAGTAGAGAGAATAGTACGGACAACATTATAATAGGCATCTTTAATTTTTAGTTCATTTTTGTTAGTTGATTAGTCTTCGGGTTCAACTACTTGGTTTACTTTCTCGATTTGATTCTCTAGTTCTTGTTTTAAGGTAAGGGTACATTGAGGATAACGAGAGACAATGTGACCTCTATTATGGTAATAATGATACTAGATTGAAGATGAACTAGTTTGAGAATCAATAGTTGGATGATTCATAGTTGGGCCATGATTGTTGCTAATAGTGAGAATTTTTGATTTGATAGAGTCACTACTTGGGGTAGATTGAGTAAAAGTTTATTGTCAAGAGACTAAGAAGATACTCGACAAATTGGATAAAGTTTGATATTCTTCTTAATATCAATGGTTCGTCGGGAAGCTTTTTTCTTAGTGTTGGAGAAACTAAGGGAGACTTCCCATTGGATGTCAAACCTCAACCCATTAACAAATCTTCGAACAGTGATGATTTGGTCCTCTTCTATTTCACACTTAGGTAAAAGGTACTTAAATTGGGCCAAATACTCTACCACACTAGAATTCAACCGTTTAAGGTTTAACAATTGTTCAACCATTGGCTTTGAAATTAGGTTGGTGAATATTTTTTCTGAAGTTTTTGTTTCATGAGTCATGACTTTCCATTAAGTGATGGAAGTCTCTCGACGGTGTTCGAGACTACGTTGGACATGTTGCTAATTTCCTAGCGTAACCCTAATAGTTTCAATTTTGCAAATTGTACATGTTCAATATCAATCATTCCATACCACTCAAAGTAGTCTTTTGTGCTATCGAACCAGTCAACAAACATATTTGGGTCAAACCTACCATCAAAATCTAGCACATCCACTTTGACTCTTTTAGCCATTCCCCCCAAATTGTTAGCAAATTGAACTCGTTCACCCATTACTCGAGTTTGCGAATTTCTAGTAGGTTCTAGGAATTCTTTGGTAAGGTCAAAGGCTTGGTCATCAATAATTGTTGGTGCATGATTGTCAACAGGTGCCCTATAGGTGGACCTAGGATTTATTGAAGCTATGGATTGTGGAGAATAGACATGTTGCCTAATCGACTCATCAACCTCATTTATGGGTCATTTTTCACGATGTTGGAGAGCTCTTAGGACTTGGGTCATTTGGTTACATAACTGGTTCAACATTGTGTTTTGATTTGCTAGCTTGGTCCTAAGGGTGTCTACCTCACTCTGTTGGTTTGGGGATTCATCAGAACTGATTTGGTTTTCACCTCGCCGAGTCATGATTCTAATACTATCGACAAATTACCCTTTGGTAATGAGGTTGTTAATTGTTGCAATGCACAATGCACAAGGTAGAAATGTAATGTTTCAAATGGCTTACTTTTTTTTTACTTTTTGTTTTGTTTTTTATTTTTTATTTTTGGGACAATTTTCAAGTATTCAAATTTTAGTGGTATTGCAGTTGTAGCTAAAGAGGAGAGATATGGTGATAAATAAAAAAAAAACAAGGAGAAAACGATGGGAGAAACAATAAAAATCATGATCTAATGAAATATACAATTTTTCTTTTGACAAAAAGTATTAGTAAAGTATTCAAAAATTTACTCGGTATTAAGAGCTACGTGGTCCACCAATTCCTTAGGGATAATCTCCCCAAAGTCTAACTCAACACGTAAGGGGGTTGATGTTGGAGGTGCAAGGATCCTTGAGTATTGATCGAAGCTTTTGTTGCTGGTTGGACCCCAATGGGGTACAGGGCAGGTTTCTTGATGTGCTATGATACCAAACTAATGTAGAACAGAGTAGGGAAGTAGAGAGAAAGAGAGGGAAAGAGAAAGAAAGAGAAGTGTGAGATAAGAGAGGAGAGTAAGAGACTAGAGAAGATACAATTCTTTTCATTCAAATCTGAAAATTGCTTAATCTATTGACCAGCTCCACTATTCCTAGGGGTTTAGGAGCCTTGGTACAATTAATGAAGACAATGATTCCCAAGATTAATCTCCTAGGGAATTAGTATGCTTTTTAGAAATCCAAAATGTGGCTTATAGGATACCTAAATAATAAATGAGTGCACTTAATATAAAAGGAGTCCCTAGAAAGATCAAAAGATTTTTTTTTTAGTTTTCAACACAACTCTTAGAATTTTTAGGCTAATTAATTGATGACTTTTTATTGATTTCTTTGTTTAGAACAAACTTTTCTGAAATCCTTTGTAAAGCTGGATCGTTCTCCATCAGTTTGTTCTTTAAATGATTGCTTTTTGGTTGGTTGTGATGAGTTTGACACTCCTGTCAGAGTTGTGGATGCCATGAAGTTGCTTGCTAGTGGCAAATTTAGGTTCACAGGACCGCTAGGAAAAGAAGCTGATGGAGTTAATTATTAATGTAAAGGAAAAAGGCTTTCATTGTTTTTATAAAATAAAAAATGTTATTGTAGATGTTGGATGTTGGCTCCAAAGGGTTCTTTTCTTTTGGAACTTTTCTTAGTTTTATTGTTTTATTTTTATAAATGTTGCTGTCATTGTCTTTCTTTACACTACTTACCGGTATATACTAATTCCATTTGCTTGTAACAATTTGTACTGTCAGAGCGTGTTGGAGCTGATGTGGTTGAATGTGCATGTCTGATTGGTTTACCTAAATTTAAGGTACTCTCCAAATGACTTTATTGTTACTTCATCTTTGATTTTATTCATTCTTGACTTGATAGTTTTTATTTAAAGCCTTCTAAAATATAAATTGATTTTGACTTTATATAATTGACAGTTTAAAGTGTGTTGTCATGCATGGTTTGAGATGGAATGAGACATTAAAGCACCTCACTGAGCACTTGAAAGTGCTGACTGCTTAAGCACGTTACATCCATATTTCTCGCATATCCATGATGGGAACTTATACTATAGTAGATAAAAGAATAATATAAAAACTCAAATTATAACTGACACTAATAAGAATATGATCCGCATCCATGCAATATAAGTTATCTATTTAGACAATAACTTAGATGAAGGATTTGAATCACAATCCAATATCCTGGGTAGTATACTGACTGTATTGCTTGGTATCATTGAAAAATAAAACTAAATACCTGTGTAACCTATATGTTTGGGCACTTATCCTTGGTTGGAATGATCAATATTGATCAGTATGTATCAGTATGATCAATATCGATCAGTATGTTTGGGTACTTATCCTTGGTATCACTGATTCAGTCCAATTAGTATTTATAGACTTGCCTTAAGCCCACATCCCTATTTATAGTCTAATAGTAAATCCATGCCACCCGATCAACAGTTTATATAACTAACCCTGACCAACTTGTTGCCTTCTTTCCACTAGTGAGCTACCAATATGAAGCTATATGCTCTGGTACCTATCATAGTTGGATTGAATACTTGCCTTTGGTCCACATCTCTGTTTATAGTCTAATGATAAATCCATGCCACCTGATCAACCGTTTATATAACTAACCCTGGTCAACTTTCTGACTTCTTGCCACTCACGAGTGGGTCCACATCTCTGTTATAGTCTAATGCTAAATCCATGCCACCTGATCAACCGTTTATATAACTAGCCCTGGTCAACTTTCTGACTTCTTGCCACTCACGAGCGGGTCCACATCTCTGTTATAGTCTAATGCTAAATCCATGCCACCTGATCAACCATTTATATAACTAACCCTGATCAACTTTCTGACTTCTTGCCACTCACGAGCTAGCCTAGATGATTTTTGAAGTATTAACCGTGCCACATAGGACAACTAATTTGGTTAGTTACATCCTTACATGACCAAAATTAAGAACATTAGGAAGGTAAGTACACCAGCTAGTGGAGGAATGGAAATGGTCCTTTGATTGCCATGACAATTGATTGATGAGTAGTCGCAGAAATTGCTTGCTTTCTGTGACAGTTTATTCTATGTTTCTAGAGGAAAAGTAGAATTTTTTAAGATCATTTCTTCTAATGAAATTTTGAACAACAGAATTAAAGAGGTGGCGAAGATTAGATTCCCTTAAGAGATAGCAGGAAAAGATACTGCACAATGTTTGGAACTTTTGAACTCCTAGGAAAATTTTGTGCAGTTTTTTTTTTTCCATCATCCATGCCATTCTGATCATATCGGTTGCTATGAAGCAGAAACAGATTGGGTAGATTTCATGGATGATTTTAACATAGTTTTGCTTCCAAACCTCCACTAGGCATTAACCAGTTAAAGTTGGTTCAAATTAACAGATCGATTGGTAAAGATTTACTCGACTGGTTCCAGATTAATGCATGCAAACATGGATAACCTTCTATTAATTTTCAAGACTTAGACAAATTTCTAAAACAAGGAGAATTGGCACGTTCTGCTATAAAGTTCAGCGATGTTCTCATATGGTTCCATAACCTTTGGCATTGTGCTTCTAACATTGAATCATCTTAGTCAGGGGAGATTAAGCAATGAACACTGCCTGCTGGAGAATGTTGGTTCGTTTATCCGCTTCAAACATTCCCACTCTTTTTTTTTATAAATCAAATGAGGCATTGCCTCTTCATAGTACTTATACTGGAGGAAATCATTTTAAGAATTGTTCTAGTTTCTTATTAAGTGTTTGGATAGTTTTATTGACTTTTTTACTTTTAGGGTGGTTGCTGGCTAAATGGAAAACCGGTGTATGTACTTGTTGACTGCCGACAATAGGATATCATCCAGGTTTGCTGCATTGTTGTCTTGGCCTTACAATTTTACATTAAATCACTGCTTCTATCTTAAGTGTCAACTTATGTCACTTCTTTTTATAAATCATCATTCAAAGTGCCAAACTTTTGCTTTTGTCGTTAAAACTTTCAAACTACAGTTTTCATTGCAAAAGATAGACACTCACCTACAAATCTTATATTTGGCAGATATTAGTTGATTGACTAGTCTCCTTTTAGTCTTAAAAGTTGACCAGAACTTCAATGAATTAACATTCATGATCAATTGATAAAGATATTTGTGTATCAACAAAGAGATGGTAATTAAGATGGATGCTTTTCTATTTATGGAATGTGCCACATGTTTTGACTTTTGTTACTTGTAAATTATGTACATACATGGGTTGGATACAAATTATGATAGTTACTAATGGACATGTTAGATTATTATTGAGGTAAAGGTGTTTATTTATATTTGGTGGATGGGGATACTGAGGTGGATGTGGAGTAGGAATACTAGAAATGATAGAATATGATATAAATACATATGTGAATAATTAGGACTAGTTCTTGCTGAGATTACAATAAGGTAAAAATATTTGTGGCGTAAGCATGTCCATAGGAGATATATAGTAAGTCAATTAGGAAACAATAGGTTTTGATGGATCTTAGTTTGACTTAGGATGGTGCCATATAAGGAGGTCAATGGCAGGAAAAGCTCGATATAACCAACTCCAAATACTAATGAATTTCAAATTAAACATAGAAAGTACCTGTTCTTTTTTAAACATCAATGCAGAATAAGTTGAAAGCTTCTAATAATGACAAAAGCAATATAAATAAGGAAGTACCTGTTGGGAATATGATACAGAAACTTTAAATCTCACCAACAACCAGTGAGGTTGCATGAAGTAATTACCTCAGAAGAAAACATTTCTATTCAAAATTCATCCAGTATTTGGTTAATTCATAAGCTTTTTGACTATCCATCTTTTTGAAACAAAAAATAGTTCTCTAACTTTACATTTATATGGTGGAAGCAACCACTGTTTACTTGTGCTATATTCAGTGCTTTAACTGATTCTGTTTTACTCAAAGTGGGATTCCTATTCAACCAAGATAAATATTCTAAACTTCTACAATGTAGAACTTATATCTTTGCTTGCAACAATGCTAACATTGTTGCACATAATAAACTTGCAGAGTAGATGTGACATGTCTTCAGTTGTTCAGTTCAGTACGAAGATAAAAACATTGCATGTGGAATTCTCATACTTGAATGACTAAGAAAAACTGTTGTAAGAAAACAGAATGAAAGAGAGTTATATCTTATGACTCTGTTGCAAGTTTGTCATTAGCATTTGTAATTTTGAGTAATTTTAACCCTTGGAACTTTAAAACTTGTTTTAATTTCATGAGATGACATAAGAAGATTTTTCCAACAAGTGTCTAAGTAGCATCTTCCGGAAAAGATGTCCATCCTGGACTATTTTCATTCTCAAACACTTCATCTATAAAATCTCCCAATCTAAAATTTAAATTACATCATATTCACTGATGTGTTCCAGCAATGAAAATATCTTATTTGCATATTTATTTATTCTGCAACTAGATATCTACAAAACAACTTGAAACGGAGCATCTAATAGCAGTTCATGGGAGTCATCAGTCAATACAGCACAAGAAAGAGCGTAATGCATCTTACCTGACATATACCTGTCATTGGTGATGAAGGTGATAATACCACACAAAAAATGTTCAAAAATTTTAAGCAATTTAACAAGATATGGAAATTTCTTTTATGTGAAATTATGGGTCCTTGGGCTTTCTAGTATTTAAGGAAGCAACGTTTTCCTTTATTATATCTGGAATACCAACTTGTGTTTCTTTTATCACATTGTTTGAGTTTTAATTGGTTGTAGGTTTTTTTTGTCTATTGTGATGTTTCAGGATAAATTTTGGTTAGGGAATATTTACATACAAGCTTGTGATCCAAGGTTGCAACGGATATGAACTATTGTGGGCAAGCAGTCGATGTTTGATGAGTCGTGGTAGAATAGTTATGGGTAGCTTTACATGTTCAGTAGTCCTGGGGTTCTCTATGAAAATTCTGGAGTTCAGTTAATTTGTCTTCTTTTTCATTGTTCCAGTTTTGCACTAAGAAATTTGATCTACATACACTTGGACCTTAAAAGAAATTTGAAATAAAAGTTCATTTTCTTGGAAATCATTTACGTGTGATGAAGTCAGAGGTGTAAATCTCCCCTCTTCACGAAGTTTTTCTACAGACCTGAAAAACTAACTTGTGGTCTATTGGCTTGTGGACAAGTTCTTGTCCTGTGCATTGTTTCCCGGTTTGTTATCATTAACTTGTATCAGAACTGTGCCATTAAGTAGATATATGGTCTTCAATTTATTAACAATGATATATATATTCTTTCTTTTCGCCTGTTGATACTTGTTTTGGGCTTGCATATACATTTTATCTTGATGGAGCACCAAACACATGCTGTAATTATGGATGCCTAAAGCAATCAAATTTATGTCCATTGATGCTGTTCTCGCATGTACTTCCACATGAATTACCTATGTATTTGGCTTGTGCTAAAATGGTGAGGCTCTTCTTTTTGTTCTTTTAACAACTTCATCAATGCTGCAACTTCCGTAACTCTGAGCAAGAAAACTTGTTATCCTTCTAAGGAATTTTTTCTTTTTCAAGCATTTCCTTTTGTCTTGCTCTGTCAATCCATTTCCATCTGGCTCTGGTGTGTTTGTCTGAAGAAAATTATTTGAAACCCTAGCAGTAGTACATTGCTTAGTCTTTTGTGCCAGTCTGTGTTCTTTGATTCCTTGTTAAAATCCATCTAATTTATTTTCGCCTTCCTCTTGACTTTTTAATTTGTTCTATAGATCTCCATAGTTCTTCCAAGAATTGTTTTCTTGCAATTCAATGTTATGCATAAAATTTCAGACTCCAAACTCCTATTATTGGCGATCCAAATCTGAATTTATTGTCAAGCACGTGGCTTTTCTGCTGCTAAATCCAACTTCTGCTCAATATTTCTCGATTGCTAGGATATTTGAAAAATGAATGGTTTCTTCCTTGACATTCTCTTGTCCTACAAACTGCATGGTCTTCCGATAAAACATTTCATGGTTATTTAGCTAGTAGAATCTCGTACATGCAACAAAAACACAATTAATTTTCTTATCATAATATAATAGAGAAAATGTTGAAGGTTATACTCGTTCCATGACTCTCCACGTATATGATCGAATTGGTTCTAAAGAAATAATTTTAATTACTACGGTGAGGCTGTCTTGAGAGTTTGTATTTATATTTTTTATATGTATTTGAAGAAAAATATTTGATAAAATTTTTAATATGTACATATTAAAATGTGTCTATATTTGTAATATGTATTTGAAGAAAAAGATTTAAGTGAATATGTAATTATAGGATGTCTTGAGATTTTGATAAATAATAAATAAAAATTATATTTTAAATATATGTCAATGTAAGTGTTATTTGATAAAATTATATTTCAAAAATATTACATATTTTTTTTGTAATAAATTAATCTTTTTTATTTTTTTAATATTTATTAAAAAATAAAAGTATATTTTTTACTTTAATAAATATGTAAATAAATGAATGTATGTAATCTTTAAAAAAAAAAGGTAATTATTGAAAAAAGTACATGGTAATTGGCTTTTACGAGATGATTCTCTTATATTTAATTTTTATTAAGGTGTCACGGAGAAATACGTGAATAGGTTGTCTTTCAATTTTGTTCATGTTTTGCACAACATGTAGAGGGTTTGTAAGCTTGATAACCTCATTTTGGTTGGCTTTTGTAAATATTTTAGCTTTGTAAATGTAGGTTGTGTACAGTTATCGCGTAGAAGCAAAACTACATAGAAACAAACTATTCAAGCAAGTATTTTGAGGGTTTTCTAGCTCCGCAAAGTGGTGCAGTGGTTAGTTGCATAACACCCAAGAGCTTCATGGGTGGCACATGGTTGGATGGGCCTTTGGGGTAGTGTCAAGAGTTGATTCGTTATTTTATTCCATCGTAGTGTCACGTGAGCACTTATTGAGACTTTTGGCTGTAATAAACCACCTTTGATCCTTTGTCGCGTGACCGTTTAAAGCCATTGAAATCTTTGTTTATAATTTACATCGCTTATCAAATATTTGCTGAAATTACTACTTATGGGATCTCGAGTTAAACGCTTCCTTTAACTTGCTTTATCTTTTGTAAGTCCTTAAGAGACCATAAGAGGTTTCGAGGAGGTTGACCTTTTGTGGACGGAGATACAAGGGTACCACATAACTTAGGTAAAATTAGCTAAGTTTATGATAGATGGTATCTGAGCGGGATAAATATATTTAAAAATACTCGGTATACAAGCATGGGGGGCTTAGCGGAGTTATGTTGAGGGAAATGGGCGTATAAATATAAGAAAAGGAGTTGCTAAAAAAAGCGGGCATATGAAATTGATATTTAGAGGAATGACCTACCCTTCACATGAGAGGCACCATGAGGACAAGCGAGCTATGAAGAACACGTAGCGCATAAAGATTTGGATGGCTGAGTTTAAGCTATGACTCGACATTAAGAATCAAACTTGATTGTGTTCAAGGCAAGTAAGGCGCTTGACAAAGAATGAGACCATGCAACGAGGGATAGGTTGCTCATGCTAGTCATAGGTGTCCTATAAGCCAATCAACAATGACACATGTGACATGACACACATTCATTTTGCTTATTATTATTATGGTATTTTCTCACATTATATTTCTTATTGCATATATATATATTGTGATGTCTATGAATTTGTGCAATAAGAATCAGATCATGAGGAGATCACAAAAATGAGATCGATTCGCCTTTAAATACAGACCCTAAAGAATCCTGGTATAGATTAATCAAGAGGGACATCAATATTATAGGAAAATCTAGGGCGACATCACATGCATAGTGGAAGAATAGAAAACAAAAATTTCAGATTTCTCAAAAGGTGTTCATCATTGTACGAAGATTTGTGCACAAATACTCGTGAAACTAAAAACCACGTGTGAGATAGTTTGTTATCTAGGGAGATCATATATTCTTGAAATCCTACAGATTTGTGGGAAAGGATGAAGAAGATCAACTATCCTCCTCTCTAGTAGTAATCCACACGGTAAGGGCTGTGAAGACACTCCTCGAATCGTTGCCCAAATCTCTATATGCCCCTGTTGGCTAAGGAGGAGAATGGGAGAGGAGATTAGGAGGTGGCAGCCAAGAAGGCCTAGCCTATGGCTCTTTGGTTCCCTCCTATTTATAAAGGCCCATTGTCAACTTAACCCTAATGGATCCTACCTTATTGGGTTCTAGATCTCCATCCAACTATCCAAGCCTTTTAGATTAGACGGTCTCTATCTAATAATCTCTCATTAGCTCTTATCGAATCTCTTCCGTTTCATCTATTTTGTCCGGATCCTCCTTTTCTTCCGAATAAAGGGAAGGGTCTTTTTCGGTGGATCCCTCTTGTTCCTGTTTAGTCTCCTTCCTTTCTCATCGATAAGATCCAATAATTCAAGGGCTTATTAGATATCCAATAAGATGGGAGCTCTAATGGATATCTCATATATGAACCTCTACTTGTCACAACACTTATCATATATGTGTGACCCTCTAGGCCCAATATCGAGTTGGCCATGAGTCATACATGTCAGAACTCATTCTGGCTCAATGAATTATTATTCCCATAATAATTCACTCGACTCATCAACTATAAACGTACTAGGCCACTACGTTGTAGTTCCTAGACGATACAGGAGAATCCAATCCATTGAACCTATCTGTCTTCAATTACCATATATCTATAATCCCTCATCTATCTAATATCTTAAAGACCATATACCGGGCATGGTGCTGTGAGGTCCATATGGTTTCTACTCAAGTCTCGCTTTAATCGGATTCTCTTGGAGAACTATTTCTTTCTCAATCCAAATGACCTTGGTCAGGGATTTATTTAATCAAGAACGGATGATTCTCTATCGACACTTAGTAACCCTCGTAAGTTTAACTACCACTCCCAATAACCAATTGTACTAGATCTGGAACTTCTAAACCTATAAGTCTGATATCAAAGAGTGGAGTACTCATATATGATATCCTTGGTGTCCCAAGTCTAAGGACCAAATACACCATTGGGATGACGGAATCGTTATCTAACAATGAGGTATCATCAACTATCCAGCATTCCATAAGTGAATCAATCAATGAACTCATTCACTAATAAGCACCTGCATTGTATCCCTAGTGTCCCTATACGAGCAGTTATGAGATCAATCACCTCCATCATATGGACGGGTATATAGTACACCAGTTTGTCCGGTTGGTTGAATCTTAGATTTTGATGATGAAACCAATTGATAAAGTTATGATCTAATGTGCGTTTAAGCGATGTAGGACTAGTTTTAATCAAGGAAAGACAAATCGATTAAAGTAGTGGAATCAAAGGTTGGGCCGGAATGGAACATGTCAGAAGATTGGACGTCGGGCTAGAGGACTAGTCGACGTGTCAGCAGAAGGCTTCGTGCCATGAGTTCGGGCATCGGGCCAGAAGGATAAAAAATTACGCCAAGGAGATTAGATGTTGCAAAGGTCAACATGTCGATTGGGCAATACACCGAAGGAGAGGACGATGCGCCGAAGGGTTGGACGAAGTGTTGGATAAACTAATGATATGCCGGACATGTGATTCATGCTTGTAATCAATTATGTTTTGATTGAAGTATTCTAGGTTATAATCGAGTAGGTTTTGAATGTAATTAGTCCAACTCAATTAGGGGCCCATTGGACTTGATATAGGGCTGACTTGGGCCCATTAGGATGCTCATTTAGTGACCTAAAAGTTGGGTCAGGCAATGGCACCGCCAGACTAGACGGTGGAACCGCTAGAGGCTTAGTCTCCAAGAGCCCAATCTCCCAATATCAGGTGGTGGTACTGCTAGACTAGGCAGTGGTACCACCCAATATCAGTTTGCAGGCGGTGGTATTGCCCAATACTGGCGGTGGTACCGCTAGTACCCTGAAAACCTAGGATGAGACTATTTTGGCTTAAATTTGAATCCATTTGGGGCCTATAAATGCCCCACTCATCCCTACTCGGTTAACACAAGAACTTGAACAAAAATAGTGTGAAAACTCTATAGTCATTCCTTCAGAATTC